ACCCTTTTAAAGTATACAGTTCAGTGGTTTTTTAGTAAATTCACAAGGCTGTGCAACCATTAGCACTATCGAATTCTAGAGTATTTTCTTTCCATTTTTTATTGATTTCAGAGAGGAAAGGAGAGGGAGAGAGAGATAGAAACATCAATGATGAGAGAAAATCATCCATCGGCTGCCTCCTGCATGTCCCCTACTGGGGATGGGGCCGAAACTCAGGTTTGTGCCCTGACCCGGAATTGAACTGTGACCTCCTTCATAGGTTGATGCTGAACCACTGAGCCATGCTGGCTGGGCTAATTCTGGAGTATTTTCATCACTCCAAAAAGAAACTGCAAATGGATCCCTATTGCCCTTTCTTCACAGCCCTTGGCAACCACCAACCAACTTTCTGTCTCCTTCGATTTACCTATTTTATATAAATGGAATCACAATATGTGGCCTTTTGTGTCTGGCTTCTTTTACTTGGAACTTAGGGTAATGTTTTCAAGGTTCATCCACTGTAGCATGCATTAATACTTTATTCCTTTTTTGTGGTTGAATAATATCCATTCATCTGATTATGGACATTAGCTTGTTTCCACTTTTTGGCCCTTTGAATAATGGTGCTATGAACATTTGTGTACAAATTTTGGCGTGGATTTATGTATTCAGTTATCTTGGGTATATACTTAGTATTGGAGTTTCTGTGTCAAATGGTAATTTTATGTTAAAAATTTTGAGGAACCGTTAAAACTATTTTCCAAAACAGCTATGCCATTTTTACATCCCCAGCAGCAATGTATGAGAGTTCTGCTTTCTCTACATCCTCACCAACACTGTTATTACATGTCTTTTTTTATTATAGCCATCCTGTTGGTATATTTTGGTGTGTCATTGTGATTTTGATTTGCATTTTCCCTTATAGCTAATGATGTTAAGCATCTTTCAAGTGCTTATTGGCCATTTGTATATATACTTTAGAGAAGTATCTATATACAAATATATTCTTTGCCTACTTTTTAGTTGTTTTTGTTAAATTGTAAGAGTCCTTTATGTATTCTGAATACAAGTCCCGATCAGATGTATGATTGCAAATATTTCTTCTGATTCTGTGGGTTATCTTTCACTTTCTTTCTTTTTTTTTTTTTTATTTTTTTTTTTTT